TTGTTGTTCAGGATCCTTCATCAATTTTTAGCAATGCAAATCGTTCACCGATCATATTCAAGATTGATTCAGTTTAGATTTGTTCGTTCGAGAAATAGAATCAATGTGTCTTTAGGCAAATTGTCTGTAGGCAGATTGTCCGCTCACGGTTTTTTGTTATAGCCATTTATACTGTGCGCTATCAACGTTATGTGTTGTGTATGTACAAAAATGTGCATTTGATTCTTTTATCATAATTTGCAAAAATTTGGTACATCATGAGGAGTTTTATGGAATAATATTATGAAATTATTGCAGTGAGTGTCACAGTTCATTACACTTGGATGCTGCATTTGATTCACTGTAAGAAACGTTAATATTTCTTGCAGTTATCGTCGGTCACAAAAGTAGTTATCACATACCACACTTATCCACGTATTGCATCTGATTATGATCATTCGGCCGGATCCTGCTTTATATTTTAGATAGCAGTTATGACTTATTTTTCTGGAAATGATACAATGTGTTGAGTTTTGGAGTAGTTGAGGTGATGAAACATTTCAACGAACTGTGACTGATCAGAAGGAACACCAGCATTAGTTCTAGCCATAACTGATCACAAATTACAAACATGAAAGCTGTATGCACACATAACCATTCAGCGATATCTTCTGTCAAATTAAAAATTCTCTTCAGAAGAAACGAATGAAATTCGAAAGTTTTTGAATCTCATTCGTTTCATTCAATCGATAACATTGAGTGAAGAATTTCATCAGTATCTTCAGCATTCTTTCGGAACAGCACACAAAATAGCGACACAGAGAGCAGATTCGTCTGGTCAACTTCGATCAACCGTCACACAATACAACCAACTGCTGAAATGTTATCCAAAATTGAAGGATGTTTATCGTTTCGCCACGGAAATTCGTTTTGCATATTTTGCTTATTGAAACAGAGAATGTGATAAATATGATTCCACTCACTTCATGAATCATCATTCCTGTGAATCAGTACGTCAGATTCAGAATGACTGGAGAGTGCTCTTGATCATCAAGACGCGTCCATAAACTCGATTGATTATATCGCTTCAACTCATCTTCATTCTTCACCAGAACCCTTTGAAACGGACAGAATTTCTTGCTGAATATTTACAGATTTTGAGCACAAAAATATCTCGCCGCAGAATTGAAGGAAAATGTTTCTGACATCAGTTTTGATATCTTTATACTCTTTGAACATATTAGTGATCCGTTCGCTGTGGCAACTGGATAAATTACCTATTGTTGGTTGAACTAAATGATGAGAATAAATGAATCATTGAGGTCATTGATACTGAATATAAACCAAACATTTATTAGTTACGATATGATAAGAAATTGTTTGCACAATGAGTTCTTCGTACGTGTCACTAACCGTGGTTCTGCTCAGAGTCACTCATTTTTCCATTCATAACAATAAAACTTGCACCGCATTACAACATTCATCAAACAGAAATTTATAATCAAATGTGAATTGAACAATATTTTTGAAAGAATGTTGCGATAGGATATGAAAGCTGATCTGTTGGATAAGGCGCGGATGAATGTTTGTTTTTGCATTCAACTGATACAATCAAAAAACCAGAAAGAACAGTTCCAGCATATGTCACCACCACATTCAAATGAAAATGCAATTGCACACAACACAGCTACATTACGAACGGAAACCGTTTCAGTGAATAAACTTGAACTGACCTGATCGAGTCTTGCCAAACTCGCATCTCGAGGAGTGGTCTGAGCTCTTTTTGGAGATAAGAAGGCCAAGGTATATGGAATGTGTAAGTTGAGAAGGTTCCAATACCTTTTAGTTCGTCCCCATGACGAACGGTTACAGTTGGTAAACATTCACATCTCTGCCTTAAAATTAGTTCTAAAATGAAACTCCAATCATCATTATAATTGGATTCAAAGGGGTCGGAAGCATTGATTAACGGTAACTCGATTCGGGGCTATCATTGACGTACTTAGCAATGTGATGATATTGTATTTAGAGCACAACAGAAAGAATGCACAGCCACTTTCAATGGCAAACAGTGATGGAGAAGTGATAAACGAATCGAGTTCAGACACTCATCGCCCAAGGAAGGAATGGAGATATCGAAGAATTTTAGTGGTGAACACATTCAACGAGAGCATCTCTTTAATACAGATTAGTAGAAGTAGAACTAGATTTTGAACCTTTCTAGAACAGTTTTGACAAACTGGGCAAGAATGATTGTTCTGCGAATGTACAATGCTGAACAGCTGGGCTTGATGCGGTTTAATTGCAAATTGGTAGGCAATGTGGGCGATGAAAGTGCTCATAAGCTCGGAAGAAAGCCTGGGCGATGATGGCAGAATTTTGGAATCGAAGCAAGGAAATTCAGGAATTTGGAATGCGAGTTGAATAAATTGTTTGGCAGGATTACGTCAGTGATCAATTCACGCAGACGTGTGCTCATTAAAGCAGTGCAGCATCGATTTGTGTCAGCATACCTTAAAACGTCGACACTCCAATTAAAACTGCCTCCACATTTCTTTCTGATGAAATCGGCGTCCGAATTTGGATGCACATCATCAAAGCGAAATTCTGACGGCAATTCCAATTGCATTGCACTGACAATTTTTTGTTGCTTTTCGTTCATGTAGAACAGATGAAATAGATTGCACTTCCATTCATGCGAGTCTTTGGTTAAGTGTTTACAAAATCTGGTGAGCTGAAAGAAGAAATTTTTGATACGGTCGAAAATTATGGCACTGGTAGTGAAATGAGATGAGATAGGAAATTTAGACAGGCAACTGCATCAAAAAGTAATTTGATTGGACTCATCGATAAACGGACTCTAGTGAATACTCAAACTGACGAACTTTATCTGACACATTACTTGACGAATATAAAAGAGCTTTCTGAGGTACTATCCTGTAACATCTATCGAATTGTTCAAACGCGTCCTTGAACTGCTTCGCTGCTATCTTTTGCAGTGGATTCGCCCAAATCGTAATAAAACTGAATAATTCAAACAAGTGAACACACCAAATAAAAATATTGATTACTGGTGATTAGTATTGGAAACGAATTTGCATACGTTTTTAGGAGGTTAGCCTATCACAAAAATTTTTTACATCAGAATCTGATGTTTGCCGTGAAAGCAACACTGTATTTCATCCAATTCGAAACTGTTTTGAAGCAATGAAATGACTGTTGATGTGGGATTAGATGCGAATCGCAGAAGTATTCTCAGCGTTGATCTTTGATATGAACGGGGTACATAATCAGTCTTGATAAAAACACTCGCATATCAGATGAATGACTAACTCAAGTCTCACATCAGGAAAAACGCTGAACCATAAAACTGGATCGTACGATGGATAGCCGTATAATCGAGCGAAACCCGGTTTACACCTGAAGTGATTGTTGCTTTCTCAAATCAACTCGGGAATTTTGTTAAATTCCGCTGATACAGATGCTGATATCATTTTGAAATTATTTACGGTAAATTAATCAGCACAAAACACGGAATGTTATCCAATTTCATCAATGTATTCACGTAATCGTTTATCTGATGAGAAAAAATTTCGAGAATTCTCATTTCTCCCAATAGATTTGACGTAATCCAATACTGAATTAACTACCTTTTTATAGCCTTAATTGTGTAAGAAACTGGTAACATATATGGAACGTCACCAGTTAAGAGCATTGCTCGATGTAGATCTTCATCACTCGAAAATTCATGCAGTATTGGCGTCCTTAAATTGTAAATAATCTGGATCAATTTTTGAATTTGGAGTATCATCAGATTATTATTTTTTCACGAATAACGACGATACTAGAATACTAGATTGTTATTGCTATCATCACCAACAACGGTTCTCATTGACAAAAGCAATAAAATCACTTCTGAGGAATACTGACGAAAGTTATTTATAATAGAGTAAAAATGGAATATTTCAGCGTCAATGAATAGGTCATCAAAATTATTTAATTATAGGAAGCGGGTACTGCATCAGAGGTTGTTTCTCGAGGAAAGGTGATGGAACGAATAAAAAACTTTGAAAAGTTACAACCAAAGTACCGCACTTTGCTCTATTTATTCGGTACTGTACCCAGTTCACTGAAGGCACTGCCTCCATGAATTGATTCTATGTCCAAAATTAGTTGCTTTGGAATATTAGATTCAGTGACAGAAAGAAAAAATACCTTGAAGCGTCATTCATCTCACGCACAATCGTTAACAAACATTGCAAATCTTTTTGCACTTTTCCTTCATCTGCTTTTTGCGCTTCCAGCTGCTCGATCTGAGAAGATTCATTTTATAATTTCCGTCATCATTACCTCGATTACTAGTTATTGCTATAACTATGAATGCATTATGTCCTTGCACGACAAGAATGGAAAAGTGATTTCGGCATGAAAGTGCGCTCTGCTGCATACCTTAGATGTCATTTCCTCTCTTAAGCATATCAACTTCTCACCACGTTCACTTTTCGCGCATTCAATACCCGAGAGGACTTTTGATGCACTCACATATTTCTTTAATCCTGCAAAGAAATTTTATTCGATATCCATCCAACGATCCATTCACGTCTCAATCAAACGATGACACTTCTCTCCAGTGATAGGCAATTGTGCGCTATACGCTATCTCGCTACTAGCCGAGCCACTTTAATGGACAGTTCGATAGCGCGCTACTTTTTTCGCGTAGTAGATATTTTTTGCGATAACTTCCAATCAAATGTCGTTGAAAAATCATTTTATCGGAAGTTATCGCTAAATGCGCTACTTTCTTCGGTTAGCGTTTCAGCGAGTCACTTTTTTTTGAGACTTCCACTAACTCGTTACTTTTCCTCTTTGCAAGGAAATGCTTATTTTTCTCAATTACAAGATTTTAAAATACATATTTGCGCTCTAGCACTGACAAGCGCTCATTTCAAAGTTATGGTCTTGGCGGGTCGAAGTTGAATACTCTAATTTTACTTGAATACTCTAATATTTGCTTGAATTGCACCACTAGCATTCTGTCTAAGCTTACTATGTTACGTGGCTTCGAATAAGCTGAGTGACAGTGCAATAATGTTTTCCCCCAGTTTGTTCTCGTAATCGATGGGTTATGGACCTGGAAATGTAATAAATGAATGAGTACCTAAAGGAGAGAGAAAATAGGAGCGCTTTGATAGCGTTTCCGTACCTGATTCTTGTGTTTCATCCGGATTATCCTTCTCTGCTAAACTTGCTTCTGGTCTTACCATTTTGTAGATCTTAGACAGCATCTGCTGAAAAANAAAAACGTAAGTCGATAACGACATCAACTGGTAATAATGGTGACATTGAATAATGCTAATAATGATTTCAGTATTGATATAACCTGATTGGTTTCGACTGACTCATTCCTTTGATTTTTGAGTTCTTCCATTGTTTCTTCGCGCAATTTTTGAAATGCATCACGCATTTCTTGTAACTCGTCACGCAAACCCATCATTTCATCTGCTACAGCCTGAAAATTAGTGCTGATTGTGTTTGGTCGTAAAGGAAATGTTCAGTGGTAATGGTGTTCGTAACGTTTTAATGATGATAAGATAAAAGTGATTGTTAACGATGATGAGGGAAATGAGTGCAATTGATTAGTAGACTGGTCTATTTGTTTGAACGATACCTGTCTCGTTTCCTCGCACATACTTCGTAACTCATTCCGTAAATCCGTCACTTTACTCGTTACTGTCTAAAACATCCAATTCATAGCTATGCTCATAAAGCAAAAAGCTTTAAAATTTTTATGATGATTTTTTTCGAAATTTCGAAAAAATTCGAAATTTTTTTCGAAAAATTTTTTCGGAAAAAAGTCGAAATTTCGATTCCGTGTTCTGAAATTCGAAAGCTGAGCACTTTATGTGCTCGGAGTCGAAATAATTTGGAAGCGAAAATCGGAATGATGTTGTACAATCGCAGTGTTTGTACTAAATTTGCTTTTTGGTAGAAGTGCGTTCAATATTCATCGAACTTCCACATCATACATAATAAGAACAACGCATATTCAGTCTCATTCAGAGGTATGGGGCTTCACCTAACATCTATAATCGGATTTTGACTCAAATGAGGCTCACGACGAGACTCATCAAAGAGAACAATAACGAACGTTAGGAAAAGGATCTATGATAAATGTTACTTTTAAAATTTCCTCACGAAAAGTACCCTTCAGTTCCACAGCCTTTGCCATATCACTCTTCAACTGTTGATTTTGCATTTGTAAGTGGCCTTTTTCATCAGATTCCCGCTGAAGAGCCACCTCAAGGTATTTCATCCTTAAATGATCATCTCATTGCAGGATTAATAGTAAGAGTTAGTGATAATAATAATGTCACTGATCATAATAGTAATATTGGAAGGGTAAGGGTTCGATATATAATATTAATTTCCGTATGATGTTATATTTTCTCATGACTTGAGGCGTTAATGAACAGCCAGTTGAGATTCATTAGATCTGCAGGAAATGATTTCGGTAGTATTCAACATTGGCAAGGTTAAAATAATAGTGAATCCGATAGCGCAACAAAGATAATGAAAATCAACAATAATAGCATCATTAATCATAATAGTTCATGACACTAAGCAACACACGTTTCACGTTGAGCTTCTATTTGTTTTATCAGTCTCGTGGGGAGATTTTCGTTATTGTCTAACGTATACGATGTGGCAGCATGTGATTTCATTTTTGCCAAATTTTTGGTGTTTTCAGGTCGAATTTCATCTTCTTCCTCGTTCTGTAATGAACACCGTGGTGTGAATAAACTTAAAAGGCATTATACTGATGATACTTGTGGCAGCAATGAAAATAATCAATCTGAACAGCAAAATCGATGAATAATAACTATTTTCAGTGGTACCATATCTATAAATAATATCGATTTTCAATGAATGTATTAGCAGTAACAACAATAAAAATGGTGAGGATAATAATTATCTTAATTGCAACTATAAAACTGCTCATAAGACCAAACGTACTTGTGTATTTGATAAAGGTGTCGCGAGGAAATTGGACTGGCATTGTTGGGATTGTTTCTGTTGAATGCTTGGCACATCCCCTTCTTCGGGCTTACTGGCTAACTCAAGCTTTGAATCAAGTACAAGACTTTGCCAGCCCAAATCATTATCCGGAATTATGTTTGAGAGCAATGGTGGCGCTGTGATCGTGGACTCAGTATTGTTGCCATTATTAGCATTGAACGACGTGTTCGGAGAAGAAGAGGGCATGCAAGGCTCTGAAAACATGCAACTTAGAAATTGAGATTGTTGCACGATTGTCTGCAGTTTTGTTATCTTCATTAATATTCTTTGTTTTTATCAGTTGCTTCACTATCACTGGTTTCATTATTGCTATTATTCTCGTGCTGATTAAGACTGTAGCTATTGCGGCATCTGTACGGCTGTCATTGTGTTTGCAAATCATCTTGAATGTAGTTCCTATAATGTTGAGCAGTGTCTACTGTAGTATAAACCAACCGCAAAAATGATTATTGATAGCCCGTAATTCACCTTCACCAGTTCCCCCGGCAAGTTTACTAATGCGACTGGTCTCTTGCTCGACAAATTCATCGGGTCCATCGTCAACTTGAGTATCATCATCGGTTTTGCATGAACCACCCCAATTGGTCCTCATCTTATCATCACTCGTCGTATGTTGTTCTTGCGTCCTTGAATATGCGCTTTTACTAATATTCCTCAACACAATGTATTAATGTGATCCCTCAAAC